CAGGCTTGAGGCACCGCGCCCGGCCAGGCAGTTTTAAAAATAAATAAATAGTGAGGCGCTAGGGCTCACGCCTGTAATCCCAGCACTTTGGAAGGTTGAGGTGGCCAGATCACTTGAGGACAGTAAATCGAGACCAGCCTGGCCATCGTGGTGAAACCTCATCTCCACTAAAAATACAAAAAAATTAGCCAGGCATGGTGGTGGCTCAGGTCTATAGTCCCAGCTACTCAGGAGACAGAGGTACAAGAATTGTTAGAACCCAGGAAATGGAGACCCTGTCTAAAATAAATAAATATTGTAAATTATAAGCAAAAAAATATAGGCGCCTGCGACAGCCTGAAATCTGGGTCTGAGGCACCAGGACATGGCAGCAGTAGTGATGTTTTTGAGCAGCGGCTTACGCTTGGGGGTTTGGGCTGATGGCATCTCACCCCCCCCCGTGCCAGCGTGTCCGGAGTGGTGACTGGAAGGGGTACACGGGCAAGACCATCACGGACGTCATCAACATTGGCATTGGCGGCTCTGACCTGGTGAGGAGAAAACTGCCTTAGGGTAGGGTGGGAGCCTGGGCACTATTGGTCCCACTCGGGGCCTTACTTTCTCCAGGGATGGGACCCGGCTGTCCCCACTTTTCGTAGGCCCTGAATTCTTATTCTCTGATGCTGTGTCTCCCCACCAGGGGCCCCTCATGGTGACTGAAGCCCTTAAGCCATACTCTTCAGGAGGTCCCCGCGTCTGGTATGTCTCCAACATTGATGGAACTCACATTGCCAAAACCCTGGCCCAGCTGAACCCCGAGTCCTCCCTGTTCATCATCGCCTCCAAGGTATGAGTGCCAAAAACTGCCCAGCCCCTGGCCCGGTATGTGTTGGGGCAGAGAGGGATGGCTGTCTTGCCATCCCCCTGGCCATTGGTCCCTCTTGGCTGGTTGCAAGTGAACCATGGTTTGTGGATTGGGTCAGTACAGCTGTCCTAGATTGTTTTCGTGCCTGGCAGCAAACAAGGTTGACTGATAAAAGCCTGAACACATCAGTTTGAACCCTTGTGTCCTGACCATACCCACTCGCCTTGTAGGACCTCCCCTCAGTCTGGAACTGCTCACCACTTTCTCACAAACCTGTCCTTTATGCCAGCTCTTTTCTTTATTATTTTTATTTTTTGGAAGAGTCTGGCTCTGTTGCCCAGGCTGGAGTGTAGTGACACCATGTCGGATCACTCCAATCTCTGTTTCCCAGGTTTCAAGCGATTCTCCTGCCTCAGTCTCCCGAGTAGCTGGGACTACAGGTGCCTGCCACCATGCCTAGCTAATTTTTGTTTTTGTTTTTGTTTTGATGGGGTTTCACCATGTTGGCCATGCAGGCCTTGAACTCCTAACCACAGGTGATCCACCTGCTTTTGACATCCCAGAGTGCTGGGATTACAGGCTTGAGCTACCATGCCCGGCCATGCTTGCTCCTTTCTGATCCCAGAGCCATGCCCTGATAATAGAGGGGTTTTGTTTGTGTCATTTATGCTGTCTTTACTCACATGAATGCACGTAAAATATGAAGAATTCCATCCGAATTCTGAGATCCCTTCCAGCCTGGGCTGAAGAGAGCCTCAGGCTGACTGCAACCCCTCCAGGGAGAAGCTGTGGCCTTTGACTGCAGCCTTGTGGGGAGGGGGTGTTTATGAATCCCCCTCCTCTGATTGTAAAGAGCTGGAATCTCAGATTATGTGGTGTCACTGTCACTGACTGGCAAATACTGCTCCCTGTGACAACTGGGCATTGCCTCGGCCCCTGCTGCTCAGCCCTGGCCCAAGGCTGCGCCCACCCCTGAGCTCAGGCGCCCACTGCTGTTCTCTTTGGTTGCAGACCTTTACCACCCAGGAGACCATCACGAATGCAGAGACGGCAAAGGAGTGGTTTCTCCAGGTGGCCAAGGATGTGAGTGGTCTATGAGGCCTCCTTTGTGGTTGATCTGTGGGCTGGAAGGAACAGGGTGGGCCCCTGCGTGACCAAGCCTGGCCCTGTTTCTCCTGGAGATGGAAGTGGAAGGTGGCCTTGCCAGTGCCTGCCTTTGCTAGTTGAGATGATTGTTCAGCTTGGCTTTGCTAGACCCAGCCTTGCAGATGTGACAGAACCTGCTCTGGCTGGCTAAGAGCCCTCTCATGGCCCATTCTTTCTCTAAGGTTCCTTGGTGCTGCAGGAACTCTTGGCCACACCTATTTTATAGGGGAGGGACCTCCCTGGCCCCCATATATTTGTAAAATGGGATGAGCAGGTAGCCTGTGACCCTTCTGCTTTCTTGACCTTGATGTGGGCCGCCTCCAACAGTCTCAGAACCAAGGACTGGGAATCTCAGTCCCACACAGGGCCTTGGTTCCTCTAGGGATGGGGAGTGACTACTCTTGGTCTCCCTGGGCTGGGTTTGGTAACTTGGCTCTTTGTCTCTTGTAGCCTTCTGCAGTGGCGAAGCACTTTGTTGCCCTGTCTACCAACACAGTAAGTGCCCCCGTGATCCCCTGTACTGTTTCCTGGGAGGGCCCAGCAGATCTAGGTCATGGCTTCTCAGAGACATGATTCGTGGGTCTGGGGGATCTTTGGCTGATGGTATGGAAAAGTTGGTTGCCTGTGGTCTGCAAGCCGTCCTTGCCTTTTCCACATTCACCCATTCAACCTCTGCTGCCTTGAAGAGAGAGGCTTGCAGTCAGTGGGATCACAATAACCCCTTCCTCCATCTTAGGCCTGACTGATACTCAGAACCCTCCATACACATGACCTTCCTTGGCCTCTGTGCCCAGCATCTTCCCAAATGGGACAGGCTGGGTAGGGGTAGAGGATGCATTCCATTTTTCACATAAGGACGTAAAGCCTCAATGAAGGGAGTTGACATTTTGCCCCCTACTTAGTGATTGTGTGTGTGTGTGTGTGTGTGTGTGTGTGTGTGTGTGTGTGTGTTTTGAGACAGAGTCTTGCTCTGTCACTCAGGCTGGAGTGCAATGGTGTGATCTTGGGTCACTGCAACCTCTGCCTCCCGGGTTCAAGTGATTCTCCTGATTCAGCCTCCCTAGTAGCTGGGATTACAGGTGTGCACCACCATGCCTGGCTAATTTTTGTATTTTTAGTAGAGATAGGGTTTCACCACATTGACCAGGCTGGTTTCAAACTCCTGACCTCAAGCGATCTGCCCGCCTTGGCCTCCCAAAGTCCTGGGATTACAGGTGTGACCCACTGTGCCCTGTTTTTTGGGACAAAGTCTCAATTTGTCACTCAGGCTGGAGTGCAGTGGTGTGATCTTGACTCACTGCAACCTGTGCTTCCTAGGTTAAAGCAATTTTCATGCCTCAGTCTCCTGAATAGCTGGGATTGCAGGCATCCACCACTATGTCCAGCTAATTTTTGTATTTTTGGTAGAGATGGGATTTTGTCATGGTGGCCAGGATGGTCTCGAATTCCTGACCTCAAGTGATCTGCCCACCTTGACCTCCCAAAATGTTGGGATTACAGGTGTGAGCCACTGCACCCAGCCCACTTAGTGATTGTATGAGTAGGTGATGCCAGGATTAGAACCTGGGTCACCTGCCTCCCAGTTCTGCCTCACCACGAGGTTTTGCAGGCTCAGCAGGGCAGGGCAGAGTGAGGGATGCTTCAGGAATGACAGCAGCAGTTAGCCAGTGGGCACTGTGTTGTATTGAGCTGGGGACCACATCCACGTCTACTCCCTGCCACTCCCTCCACCGTCACTCCCACCTCTGCCTGTAGTGCTCTCCCACCCACAGCAGGATACCGTAAGGCTGGCTAACCATAGCGTGGTTGCCTGCCTCCCACTGACTGATCAGTAGGGCTTCTCCTCCTGTGGGCAGTAGATAAGGGGTTGCTGGCCTTGTCTCCCCTGAGGACCAGAATACTTGATGGGTCCTCAAAGCTTCCTCCCAGACATGGGAAGGGCTGGGTGGCTCTCCAGCCTGTGTGTGATAGCCTGGCCTGGTAGGTGGCCCCTGCTCATACTCGGGTCCCAGTCCTAGCTTTGGTTCCCACATGTCCTGAGGGGTCATGCTCTGGTGTCCCAGACAGGCCCGGGTGAGAGCTATTGCAGGATACTTGTGTGGGCCAGGTTCTTACGCAGGGTTATAGCCACCCTCAGCAGGGGGCTTTGCAGGTGCAATGTCACAGGTGTGCTGGTCGTGGACTGACCTGCTGTCCAGCTTGGGGGCGGGTAGATTCTGGGCCCCACCCTTGACTCAGAGGCTGCTCCAGCCCTGCCCCATCCCTGGCTCTGGAGAAAGTGAAGCTCAGCTCACAGAGCACAGCTCCCTGCCTCCCGGAGCTCCTGTTCCCATCCTGCTAGCAAATGCTTCCTTTCATTTCTCTCCCTTTGTTTTTTTATTTAGGCCAAAGTGAAGGAGTTTGGAATTGACCCTCAAAACATGTTCGAGTTCTGGGATGTAAGTACAGGCACTTCTGCACTGGGTGAATTAAGTGTCCTTTCCAAGTCATGGCTGTTGAGGGGCCCCTGAGGTCAGGTCAGTGTTTATTGAGTACTTGCTGTTTACCTAGCTTGAAGAAAGGTAGAGAGGCCCTCAGAGAGGCTTGGAGGGCGAGAGCAACCCAGGCAGGACAAGGGCTCTACTTCCACCTGAGGGCGGGCTAAGCTTGCAGGGCCAGGTGACACTCCCTTGGGTGCCTGCCTGCAACACCCTCTGTGGGGTAACCCGAGTCCCCCTTACCCCGTCCCACAGAGCTGAGGTTGTGAGTTATTCTCAGTGATGACCTTTGTCTGAATGGCAGCCACCATCTCTAAAGGCCAAGGGGCAGGGTGAGGCATGAGGTGTGACTGGGTAGCCCTGGAAAGGAGTAACAGGAGCTGCAGGAGGAGCTGGGGGGTGGTGGAGAGGAGGTGCCAGGGTAGGGCAGCTTGCAGAGCAAACCCTGCCTCAAATGACAGAGCTGCAGACCCCTCTGCTGGAGCCAAGCAGTGAGCTGCAGCTTTCCTTGTGCACTTGCCCGAGCTCAGCAGTGGTGTGAGGAGGGCTCTGGCTTTGAAGCCTGGGGTGCAGGGGTGCAGTGGAGGGTGTGGTGTGGGCGCTGTGAATGCCGTGGGCATGGCTGGGCTTAGGTGCAGTGCTCTAACGCTGTGGCAGGTGCAGCAGACAGGGTGTTGCCCATTTGGTGGTTTTTTCCCCCTGGGGCTATTTCCAGGCATTTGGACCAGAGGCCCTTTGCTTGGTGATGGCATCTACAGACATAATCTCATTCCTTTGAAGGTTCTACAGGCCTTCTACTACTGGGGGTCTGGAAGAGAATGAAGCCCTAATGCCTTAAGCCATCCACTGTGTATAATGAGTTAACTTCTTTCTAGAATGGCACTAGTTATATACCATCCTTGGAAGAATTGACAAGAGTCACTCAAGTCATTTTCTGCATCCTGTGGCTCAGATGTGGAACCCCAGTCAAGAGAGACTGTGCAGCTTCTAATAAATGTTGCATGCCTGATAATGGAGGGCAGGCACCTTCCACCTCCTCCTTGGGATCTGGAGCCTGAGCAGGTGGTGGGCAGGGATGTGTGGGTGCCATTGCCAGCCAAGGAGCCAAGCAGAACGGGGGTGTCCTTGCCTGTCACCACCCAACATGCAGAGATGAGTTAGAGTGTGGCTTAAGGAGAGGATGGGTCTGGCCTCCCAGGTAAGGTCTAGGAATGATAGTTAGGCACAGGAACATGGGGCCGGGGTGGCTGGTGAGACCTAAGTAGAGGCCTCCTGGGCCAGGCTAGACAGACTGCAGGGGCAGGAGGAGGGACCTGCCTGAGTCTCTAGAGTGTATCCTGCTGAGTCAAGAAGGTGATGTCTGAAGAAGCCAGGGACAGAAGCAGGTGAAGTTCCTAGAGATGGGGTCTTGGGTGAGCTAAAGGCATCAGCTTAGGCCTAAGGATGCAGTGCCAGTTCTTGAATAAGATTAAAAGAGTCCTGTCTGGTAGGGGTATATAGAACTGGTGGCTTTTGGTCTGCCAGGGCCAGTCTTGGGGCAGTCCTGGGTGTTGGAATCAAGCAGGGGTGTGGTGGGAAACTGTGGGGTCCCTCAGGTCTCAGCCAGAGCCAGCGCATACTGCAGGGCCAGTTTTGGCTGGTGAGGCTGGAAGAGGAGCCAGAGCAGGTCCAGGTGAGTTCTGAGAAGTCAGGACAAGGAGAGGGAGCCGTGGGTCTGTGAATTCTGGAGGAGATGCAGGTATTTAGAGTTGGTTCTGTTAGGTGAGGTCTGAGGAGTCAAAGCTGTGTACATATGTCAACCGGGCTCTGTGGGAGGCAGTGTAGACCTATGGCATGGGACAGGTATGCACATTGGGATCTCTGGCCATTCTGAAAAGTGAGGATCAGGTAGTGGGTAGCTGATTGCTCAGGGGTAGTTAGAACTCAGGATATGGCGCACACAGGTCAGCACCTGGTTCTCAGCATCCTGACTGGGTGTGATGGGCAGAGCTCAGGGCATCAGAGTATCTATGACTAAAATCCAAGTCTGTGGCATCCGGGTCTGCAAAGCCCAGATAAGGGAGAGGTAGGAATATACCTGGTGATACGAGGCGAGGACAGGGCAGCTAGGGCAGGCGAGGCAGGCAGGTGGCCTTGAGGAGATGTGCTGGAAGGTGTGGTCTGAGTGGTTCAGGGTGGGTAGAGGTCCAGAGAACCGGGTCTGCAGGGCAGACATCTGAGGCTGAGCCAGTCAGATAGTGTTTGCCAATACTGGGCTCTCACCAGTCTCCCTCAGGCTGAGGTCAGCAGGCAGGGATCTGTCACGTGTGAGGGAACTGTCTGTTCAGGTTAGGTGTGTATAGTCCAGCCTTTCAGAACCGTGTCTGTCTGAGGTCCCAGGAGCTGAAATCAGACAGGTGTGTATGACTGGATTTCTAGGAGAGGTAGGCAGAACTAGACTAGTCCGGTAAGGACATTGGAGCTAAAGATAGACAGGTCGAGCTGGGCGTGACAAGTGAGGGCTGAAAACCCATGATCGGGTCTAGATTGGAGCTCTGTCCTCGGGCGATGTCTGAGCAGCTCTGGTGGGTGAACCTGGGTCCCCTGGGAAGAGACGGAAAAGCTGGAGTCAGACAAAGCGACGGCGAACAGCATCCATCTGAAAGGTGGATAAAGCCTGGGCCTGGTCCAGGTATGTAGACAGGTCTAGCACGTGAGGTTTCAGGGTGAGACATGGGTATGTATTTTTGGGTCTCACAGGTAAGGTCTGAGCTGCTGAGGTCAGGCCCTGGTTTGTACCCCAAGTCTGAGAAGCCGTGTTAAGCATGGTGGGTAGAATTTGTTGGGTTTTGTCTGTGAAACCAGGGGCACGCAGAGGTAGGTGGACCAGAATAGCCATGGTCAAGCTAATTAAACCATCCTGCAGTCGATTTCAGGCACAGGTATAGAGAGTGGATCTGTCAGGTGAGGCCCAGTGAGCCAAGGTTAGGCTCATCTAGAAAGACCTAGATGTGGTAGACGACCTTTGAGGATGTGAATTAAAGGCAGGTGGTTAGAGCCAGTTCTCTCAGGAAGATCTGAGGAACTGGGATCTGGCACAGTAAGCAGGTCTGGATTTCCCAGGTGATGTCAAGACGGTGTGTAGGCTGGGTACGGTGACTCACGCTTGTAATTCCAGCACTTTGGGATGCTGAGGCAGGCAGATCACTTGAGGTCAGGAGTTCAAGACCAGCCTGGCCAGCATGGCAAAACCCCATCTCTACTAAAAATACAAAAATTAGCCAGACGTGATACACGCCTACAGACCTAGCTACTTGGGAGGCTAGGGCACTAGATTTGCTTGAACTGGGGAGGCAGAATGAGCCAAGATGACGCCCCTGCACTCCAGCCTGGGTGACAGAGCAAGACTCTAGCTCAAAAAAAAGGTAGGGGGCAGTGCCTAGTGGGGTAGCTCATGCCTGTAATCCCAGCACTTTAGAAGGCCGAGGTGGGCAAATCATCTGAGGTCAGAAGTTCGAGACCAGCCTGGCCAACACGGTGAAACCCTGTGTCTATTAAAAAAATAAATTAGCTGGGTGGTGTGTGCCTGTAATCCCAGCTACTTAGGAGGTGGAGGCAGGAGAATCGCTTGAGCCCGGGAGGCAGAGGTTGCAGTGAGCTTAGATTGCAGCACTGCACTCCAGTTTGGGCAATAAGAATGAAACTTCGTCTCAAAAAAAAAAAAATAGATGAGTAGGTAGAAGTTCATCTCCTAGGTGAGGTTGAGGAGGTGTGGCCAGGCACGGGTATGTAGAATTGAGTTTCTTGGGTGAGGTCTGTGGAGCCTGGCCCAGGTTTATCTCTTTGGGTATATCAGATCTGAAGAACGGGAGTTAAACATAGGTGTTTAGAGCAGGGTTTGGTAGGTAAGGTCTTTGGAGCCAGGATCAGGGCAGCTTCACAAAGCTGGATGTGTTCATGAGACCTAAAAAGTCATAGTCAAGCCCAGGTAAGAAGAACCAAGTGTGTTGGCTGAGGTATGAGCAGCTGAGGTGCTCTGGAACCCTCATCACATGCAGGTAGGGGATGCTCATTCTCCAGGTACAAGCCCGGGAGCCAGCATTAAGCACAGGTGGGCAGACCTGGCCCGCCAGGTATGATCTGAAGAGCCAACATCAGGCTCAGGTAGGTAGAGCTGGCATGCCAGGTATACTCTGAAGAACCAGGGTCAAACACAGGCAGTTAGAGATAGTCTTTCAGGTGTGGTGTAAGGCGCCAAGGTCAAGTACAGTTAGGTGGAGCTGGCCTACTGGGTGTGGTTTGAGGAGCCGGGGTAAGCTCAGGTAGGCAGAGATAACCTTTCAGGTGTGGTTTGAGGAGCCAGGGTGTGCACAGGTAGGCAAAGTTGGCCCACCAGGTGTGGTCTGAGGAGCCAAGGTCAGGCTCAGGTAGGTAGAGCTGTCTGTCAGGTATGGTCTGAAGAGCGAGGATCAAGCACAGGTAGGTAGTCTGGGTCACTAGGTGTAGCCTGAGTACCCAGGGTCAAGCACAGGTAGGTAGAGATGACCTTCCAGGTGTGTTGTGAGGAGCCAGTGTCAAGCACAGGTATGCAGAGCTGTTCTACCGTCTGAGGAGCCACGGTCAGGCAGGTAGACAGAACTGGTCTTCCAGGAGTAGTCTTTTGAAGGAAAGCTGAGGAGTTAAGAGTTGAATGCAGGTAGATGGAGTTGGCTCTTTCAGAAGTTGGATTCAGGCATAGAAATGTGCCCCTGGGTCTTTGAGATGAAGCCTGAAGAACCAAGAGTTGAGGCTAGGTGGGTAGAGTCACCTCACAGGTCAAGCCCATAGCATAGGGGTCTCTATAGGCAGGCAGAACACTGGGTTTCCTAGGAGGTCTGTGGCCCCTAAGTTAGATGTGAGTAGGCAGATGTATCTCTCTCAAGCAAGGACTTTGGAGCTAGAGGGACGTACACCTGGGGTCTTGCAGACGAAATCATTGGTGC